CATCCATCAGGCAGCCAGCGAGGCATCGGGAAGGAATGATGGATGTAAAATTATTACAGGGCTGCCACCCGATATACTTACTGCCATTTGTAACTAACGCTGGAACTGACACACTTTTTTCATTATTAAACATCCACATTAAGTCAACATTGGTCACTGTCATTTCATGTTTGGCACTCTCTTAAGGGGAAGAGGGAGAGGTGGGGGTGGGAGTGGGGAGGATGGTGGGAGGGAATGGGAGAAAAGACATCCTGAACCCAGTGTTCCATAAGCATGAGTAATAAATAGGCTCCTGCTTACAGTGCTGGAATAAATATTGTTACAAATAGCTCTTTAGTTACAGCCCAGCGGACAAGTACATGTCAGAGCCTTTTAAAAGGACACACTCCAAGCAATAACAGGGAGAACTTGTATCACAGGTTAAGAAACACTTCAGCACAGGAGCTACACGTATTCGGATGCACTCATCTCAGAGCGTGCTATGAGCGTGACTGTGTTTGCACACATCTGAAACGCTTGTGTGGCCGTGCATACTTACACAGCCGTCCCTGCCGCCTGCACCTCTAGCAACTGGCACCAGCACCCGGAAACCGGTACCTGCGTTTGTACCGGTGTACAGAGGCACGTGCTCAGAAACCTGCTTGTGTGCCCCCTTTCTCCTTTTTTACAGTTACCAGGGCACATACATGAATGCTTGAGAGTCTGACTACAGTCAGAAAATTACTGGCTAGCTCAGCGTGTGTTTGTGCTGTGTATCTCTGAAGGAGCGCACTGTAGGCTTGTATGCATGCACACACATGCTGGCTCTTTGTGTTTGTGTACATCTCCCTTGCAGAGGAACAGGCAGATTTGGGGCCGAACAAATACACCAGAGTCCACTTGCTGATGTTGCCTGTTGTGGTGTTTGTACTAGATGACAATCTGTGCTCTAAGCTACATGTATAAAAGGTAACATTGTTTATGTATAGTACATATCAAGCTATAATTAACTGTAGATGACAATTACAAATAAAACTATGCTCCCGGGTTTCCAAGAAACCAGAAAAACATATACACACACTACTCATTTATACACGGAAATGTTTCCAAGAAAAGTAATGTAAAAATATGTTTTATTGCATTTGCAATTAAAATAGGTTTTAGTAAAATCCATGTTCATCATGATGTTCATAGTTTTTACTGTAATCCTCTGAAAATCAAATCCCTCAAGATGGTCCAAGTTGGATGCCCATAAAGTGACTCACCCAAATCATCCCAGCCATTTTAAAAAATCTTTTCTCATTTATGACTCCTTTTATACAGCATCTCTCCAATTCCACGAAATTCCTGTCTGACTACCACCTTACAGCTGGCAGGTTTGGCTGTCCACAGGGATCAACCCATCTGGGAGCACAGGCCAGGTAACGGGTCATGTACATGTGTGGAGAAAAGCCCCAAGAGCTTTAACAGAGACTCACAAAGGTGATTTCCAGCCCTCAGCCTGCCCAGCGACTCCTGGCAGATAAATCCCTACTGAGAGTCTAACACGTGTTCAGAACTTCACGGGTAAGCTGCCACAGCAATTCATGCAATAAAAAAAACTCAACAGGTCTCCAAGAATTTTAGGTCTCCATAACTACACTAGCCACTGCAGCAAAGAAGGAAGGAAAATTGGGGGTAGCCCCAGATGAGTGTTTGTTGCCTATAAACATTGAGATCACTCTACAGGAAGGAGAGTCTTTCTTCCGTACATAACTATAGACATAATATATGTTTCTAAGTATGAATATGGTCACAGATGCATAGCTACATTAGGCTAACCCTCTTTTAATTCCATCCCCCACATCAGTATCTCCCTGTCAGAAAGTAACCAGTGAGCAAACATAACATCCCAAAAATTCAGGGGCTGCCTCCAAGTCCCCTGGCAAGTCCCTGAGTTGCTGAAAGGAAACCCTCAGTGATAACTGCAGCACTCCATTTCTCACTACCCACCTTCCCAACCATCTCTTTTTCTTTCCCTTGAAAACAGGGAAAAACAGAAAAAAAAAAAAATTCAAAATGATAAACACTTGCCTTCCTCTCCAATCTTGCTCTTAATAAGAGAGAAAACTTTAAAGTCCTAGGTCAAACAGTCACACACTGTAGAGAAGTTTGGGTGTTTGTCTGGATCTGAACTTCACAGCTGGCTAGTCAGTGGATGGCCTAGAACATATATGGGAAAGGAGAACAAGTACCTAAACTTTACAGCCTATGTCTTTTCCTCTGCTGGATCAAATGCAAGAGACAGCTCAGGAGGGCCTACAGGTTAAAAAGTGCAACTAAGACTTAGTGGCTTAAGTGGTCATCCCAGCAACCCAAATGCCATTATAGCCCAGCAGAGATCAGACGTGGTTCTGTCCTTTCCTGTCTTCACTTTAAAAAAAAAAAAAAAAAAAAAAAAAAAAGAAATCAGTGTATCTCAATAAAGTTTTAGCATTTATTGTATCAAAACCCCCAAATCCTGCAGTTGCTTTAGAAAAATTTTCAGTTGAGCAAACAATTTTTTCTTCCTGCTACCTTGTAAAAGAACTCCTCTATGCTCTCCACGAGCCTTCCAGGAGGCATGAATTAGAGAGGAAAATAAACTTCAACTGGGGTTGAGGGTGAGAAGTGAAAACAGAAGGAGTAAGGAGAATCCCAACAATAGGAAAGTAACAGAATAAAGTGAATGCAGATGGTTCCACTCCTGTTACTTAATCAAAAGGCTGTGCAGAGTCACTAGAGCCAGCATAAAGTCATGTGTTAGAACAACAGCTGATCTGTATTAAAGAAGATTAACTCGCAATGCCATGGTGGAGGGCCTGGGATTATTTTATGTACTTCCATTGCCGAACAAGCCGTCAGCACAATTACTGCCCTCCGATGTGAATGACTGATCTGTAACCACAGCTAAACAGCATGCTGCTTAGGGGCCTGGGTGCTTCATGAAGATGAATTTCCATACCATCAAAGTGCTTTTAATGGGCTTCCTGATCCAACCACAAGGCCTGCTTTGCAAGTATATAGAACTCAGGATGAAGGCTTCCTGTCCAAAAGGATTTGGTCGGTTGTCACTTGACAATTCCCAGCCAGCACAAGGGAGGAGAGGGGGGAGATAGGTAGAGTTGTCTCTGCTTTGGAGGATTAAAAAAAAAGAAAAAAAAAAAAGAAAAAAAAAGGGTACAGATGCTTTCTGAATGCAACCAACTGCTGTATCCACAGCTGAATTCAATGCGCTTAACAAATAACAGCAATTTAGCTATGCTTGCAAGGAATAGCTTGAGTCACTTTGCATTAGCATCTGGCTGAGTGTTAAAGTCATTTCGACATGGGGAGCAGAGAAAAGAAATTTCTGCTCCGAGCATCCTTTCAAGAATGCTTAAATATTTGAATATAAATTCCTTTGTGCCTGTGATCACTTCTTCTTATATCTGACACTCTGCTTTTCCCTCTTCCCTTCTGGTACTCTTCTATGTGAAATGCCATAAACATGCTCCATCCCTCTCTCTTTCTTTCTCTCTTCCCATACCAGCGCTCTTATTCTTCCAAGAAAGATTGTACGTACTGCCAGGTATCTATTACACTGACCTCCTTTTTCCTTCCCCTTTCTGTCAAGGAAGTGCATGAAATTGGAGTAATTTCTACATCACTTGCACCCAGGATAGGCTGATGAAAAAAGTACAGTAGTGAGAGACTCACATGTACATTTAACATTCATTACCCAGACTACTGGCTTCTCACAGCTTATTGATCAAACTCCATCTAAAACCAGGGAAAATGGAAAGCTATCCAAATTAGCAATCTGCTCATTCTGGACAATATTGTTTGACTCACAAGCCTCCTAGGATGACTGACTTTCAAGTTTCTGCTAAATAGCTGATCATTTTTATTCATTCTATTTATCTTCCTATCTCAGAGGTTTACACAAGGCCTTACAGTGAAAAGCCACTAGAAGCTGTTTCAGTAAAATTCAGTTTACACCAAATTCAACAACGGTCAGCTTAGTTGTACTGCACAATGAGGGCTGTATCACCTCAGACAATATTGGAGGGGAAGAGAGGAACTGAGGAGAAAGTCTTACTAAGCATGTGATGTTGAGATGCACACAAGAGTTTGGATGTATATCTTAGGTGGCAGTATTATAAGGACAGCTCACTGTAAATGTGGCAGCAAGGACTGGCAGGTCTATTTATCCTCCATAAGCCAGGGCAGTGCATGGAAAAACATCAGGTATTTGCAGAGAAAAGCAGCAAATCACAGCCTCTTAGACATACACAACGGTTACAGTGCATACAAATTTTACTGGAGAATATTCGCTTTGTTGATACTTTGTTATAGCACAGCTTCACAGGCCAGTTCAAAACCAGGTGGTAAAGCCCATACGTTCTGCTGCCTCTAAGATTCACTGCAAATATTTGATATGCAGTTTGTGTTGTCAATTCTCAATTTTTTCAATTTTGTTAAGTCATCTAACATGACATGACAATGCTACATTGCAATGGTCACAAAATATCATATATGACAACCTCACAAGGCTAAATACCCAGAAGCTGAGCCTGAGTATCAGCAAAGCTTATGTTCCTAAAGAAGCTTGAATATTTTCAAATCCAGTTCATCTCACAAACACATGTAAGCATTTCCATAAAGCAAGATTTCCAATTAGACCCAGAGACTTCCAAGATCACCTTCTCATAATACACGATGACAGGCTGGAACAGAGAATTAGTGCCCTCCAAAGTTCTCATGAGGGCTTTGACTACCTCTGCCTCCTCCTTACTCTCTCACCCAAGGGTCTCCAGGCCTCTCTCTTCTGCCATTTTTTGGTTGTGGTTTTCATTTTACCTTTCACTTTTTTTGAAAGAAGCAATTATTCTGGTTAAAAATGGGGAAGAAGAAAATAGAGCAAGAGAAAGGAGGGAAAAAAAGGAGGAAGAACCTATGTGTCTGTAGTGAGAGCCAAATGCAATCTCAGACCCTTTCCAAAAGGAGTCTCAGAAACTCACCTTTTCTGTCCTGCAGTTATTGAGACCCAGGCTATTCACCACGGCTACCTTCCCATCCAACACCTGTTGTTCCCTCCGAAGTTGCTCCTTCATCTGCCGGGCCTCCTGGATTGCCTTGGTAACAGCATCGTGGTCATTTAAATAACCTGACGACGTGATAGAAGAAAGGATATCTTAAAAAAAGAAAGTTACAAGAAAACACTTTAGCTTTCATCGATGAAATGCACCCATAGTTTATCACTATTCATAGAATCATAGAATGATTAATGAGGAAGAGTTAAAAGGTAATGCTCAGAAACCCGTCCATGCTTTGTAATTCTGTTACTGTTATGATAGAGCCACCTGGATAGAAAGCATGAGAAACCTCAGTGCCAAAATCATCGTCCTGATATTTGATCCCATTAGTTTCAATATTTCCCTGACACTGCAGAGGTTAGCCCTGTGGTTTGTATGCAGCAGGATGTAACCGGATAAGTTAGGGGAAGCTTTGATCATGCCAGCAATCCCAAACTCTTAAAAATAGACTATTTCATTCTTCCCCTTCTTAAAACTTGTGAATACATTAAAATAAACCACAGGTGGCGGTGGTTTGCTATAGATATGAAATGCATAATGGCTGAGAAGAGAAACCTCATCCACTGAATGCTCCCCACCACCACCTGTCATTCAGAAATGTATAAGAAACCACAGCTACACGGACCTACATTCCCACTCCTATTCATGCTGCTAATAGTAGGTCAAATGTCCACTGTTTTGCTGCAAATTCACAGCCTAGGGCTTAGCCTTAGTAGTCACTGAATTATTTCCTTTTAAAATGTTACAAGCATCACCAGCACAGCTAATACTATTTAATTTTAAATGTGACACTTTGTCATTTTTTTCCTTTAGCGTACTGTAGATTATACTTATTATGATCTGCATGTGATTTGTAGGATAGAATACTGATGGGAGACTCCAAGCCCCAGTCTATTTTTCAAACATTAAAGGAGAGGCTAGTATCTATCAATCTCCCTCCCCCTTTCCACATCCCCACACACGCGCACACGCACACACTTCTTTCTGTCTTTTAACTAGGGCATAAAAATGGCATAAAATGAATCTGTAATATGAAATTGCCCAGAAAAGGGACTTCTGTTTGTGACATGAGGCTAAATCTAACCAGATCCATTGGTGAATTGTGACAGATGGAGGGACTGTGAGACAGAAGGCAGGCACTAATCACACACAAAATGACCGGCTTGCCTCAACATGTTCCATGGATTCCAGCAAACTTTACACCCTAATCCATTTTTAGAACAAAAAACATCTGGGCCATAAATCCTCTAATCTGCCAAAACACGCTATTAAATCCCATGATTTGTTGAAAAACACTAAGATTAAAGAAAGGAAATATAAAATGGCTAACTGCCGTGTTAGGAAAGTGTTATTAATACTCTTTCTTTGTCTCAATTATGAATGTTCTGTTCCTAAAGAGCCTTGTCTAATCATGTCAGATTACACATCCTTGTTGTATTGCTAGACTCTTCTATCTGATCTGCTGATTGCCAAAAAACGTAGGACATTGTCTTGCTGCTGCTTAAAACATTTCAGGGGAAGAAGCTGATATCAGATTAGTTCAGTGCTGCGCTGCTGTCAGGATTTTAGTTTGGTTTGGGTTTTTATTGTTGTTTTTTTTTGTTTTGTTTTTTTTTTTTTTTTTAGACTGCAGACAGAAGGGGACTGGTATTCCCATCTTCCTTGGCGCACAAAAACTAGAAAGAAAAGTTTCTGTGCGGTTTGACTGTTGTTAATTGTACTAACAGTTAGATTTTGGCTAAATACCCAGGAACCATGAGAGTTTTATGTGAAATAACTTGATCCACATTGCTTTTATCTAATGACCCAATTCAGTAATTCTCAGCCAATGGAAGTCCAGTAATTCCAGCTTTCCTAGCATAAGGAAGGATATAACCTGCACCAGCACAGTGCTACCAGCTGACTTTTTTTTTTTTTTTTATCTCCATTTTATCAACTTGCTCGGTTTCTTCCCCACTCTGCATCTGTTACTGATCAAGCTTCCATGTAGTCAGAATAAATTAAAAAGGAAGCAAGCAAACAAACAAACAAACAGTAGTATTACTGCTGGTTGTGCTCTCGATTAGGCTAGGTATAATAGTTTTGATCTGTAATACAGCCGTATTTGCCGAGGAACTGGAATTCATGCCCTTCTCCAGACTATTTGGCTTTTCCTGAATACTGCTATCTTTGAGACACTTTGGCACATGACAGTGAATAAAAGCAAGCACTCCTTATGTTTTTCAGTAGCTGCCAAGATGCTGGTGTGCAGGGAAATGATTAATATAGAAGCGAGTAGAATGTAAATTATCGTTGTTTAGGGTAGGTGGTGAATTATTGACAGAGAGGGGAACTGCATTACATAAAATGCACTTAGTTATAAGGATTGCCAAACTAGCATAGAGATGTTGCAGATAAAGGCAAAGGGCAGAGAGAAGTTGTTTCTGTTTTTAGTACACGGACATATGCCTGTTCCCAAAAAGAAATGCTTGGATTTAAAGTCATACATGAAGCCACGACATTTGTGACTGCTCAGTCTGTAGCATAATTTATATGCTATAAGGCTAGCTCTAGAAAAGGACTACGTATCTGTATGCCCAAATGTATCAGAATAATCACGGGAGGCTCTAAGTTTACATCATCCAAAGACAACTGAACAATACATGAGCATTTCTCCACGCCATGGGAACCAAACGGCCTGAAGAACTGCTTTCAGAGAATGGTTTTAATTTGAAGTTAGTGGCACTGAAGTGTGACAGCTCAACTGCATCCCAGCAAGGTGGGCTGTGCAGACCTAGGACAGACAACTTGTGCCTTGCATTGACAGCTCCAATCATTCAAATGGTGGAAGTAACTGTCCGGGAAATGACTGCATGCTTCCCAGTGACTTTTTCTAGAGGGATTTATCTCTCAAGATAAAAAAATGATCCAATTTCTCTACCATTTTTAGGGACCTTAGTACCTTTGCTAAAACTGCTATCGAAATTTTTTCTGGCATAGCTCCTACTGGAGGGCGACTTGAAATTTCATGCTCACTTTTTTAAGATTACCAAATGGTTTTAACATGGTAATGAGTTTTACTTGCTGTAACTTTGGTTGGATCTGACCTATCAGTTAGCAGGAAAAGGCTACAGAGTGTTCACAAGTCTTTCATTCTTCTAGCCCTCCATTAATGAACAAACCTTTGTTAGAAATAGGCTATGACTGTCCAGCTTCTGCACCAGTTAAAGACTGCTGATCCAATATATATAGTATGCATAGCGATACTGCTCAGCAACCTCAAAAAGTCACTTTCTATATTTGTAGCTGAGAGATATACAGCAGTGAACTCTATGTCATTAACAATAACTTAAGTATGTTATCTTTTGCTCCACAGTTTTCCATGGTTTATTAATGGTATAACACATTAATTCTTCTTACAAGAGTGACCTTTAAAGCTCTATTCATCCTCACAGCTTTTATCCAATTACATTATCACTCATTACAGGTACAGCATTTCAAAATCTGCATTTTGTTAAAAGAAGTAAATTGCAGGGGTCTCAAACCTATGAAAAAGATCAGGGTGTGTAGGGAAAGAAGATTGGAGAGGAGAGAACAAGAGATGTCCTGCCACTGAGATGCAGGTCAGATGCTTAACTTCACATCTAAATGTGATGCTCACTCTATTAAGGACAAAAAATGTAATGTGAAAGAATTGAAACTCGATGCATTGTACATGGAGAGCAGGAGGGCCAAGCAAATTAAAGACAAAATACATTATTACCTACTGCAGTTAAAGAGTGTAGGGTTAATAATAATACATGCATTAACAATTAACAATGTTATTTACAAAATATTTATATAATTGTAACATATTATACCAAATAAAGTTATTTTATTTTCTAAAAGGCATAGAAGCATATTCTCTGTCTGATATAAGTAACTCTCATCAACACTGGCAATAATAATGCATGCACAGTGGGAAGGTAACACAGTGGGAGCTAGATCTGTTTTGATCTTTGGATTTAACTATGGGTCTTCCTGGTGTCTATGCAGGTAGAATATGGACTACAATGAGCTTGGGAGAGATCCATAGAGACACAAAAAGATTTTACTACATAGCACTGAGATATCACAGAAACAGCTCCTGGTATGTTTGACCTATGGCTCCTTTCATTTTTTTGTGCCATCCCTGAAAGTGGCCAGCAGGAGATGCTTTAGGAGCAATAAGACACACAGTAGCAAAGGTACAACTATCTACCTCACTTAATTCCCCAAACAGAGCCTGATTTACATCTTGAAATCTTAATTCGGGTTATATTCAATCATGTCATGGAATAAAACGTTTCAGTTACAAGGACGAAGAATGAGGTGTGTACGCATTTTACTTACACACACAAAGAGCAGTGCCTTTAACACATCAGACTTGTAAAACCACCACTAAGACTGTTATTACTTAGGTGGTCTTTAGGCAAAGAGGTAATTTTGGCAGGAGGAAGAATTAACACGATTCTCTGGAACAGTGTTAAAAACAGCCAGTCAGGACTTTCTGCAAGATACATCATCAAACTTGGTTTTTTGAATGAACTTGGTGATTGCTTTGCTTATTAGACCAAGGTAAAATAATGCTCCATGCAGCTTTCTGGCAGACTAAGGATTAAACCTGTAATTTTCAAAGATGCATTTGCATATGTACACTTTTAACTGAAAGGGAATTTTTTTAAAGTTTATACATCACTTTTAGATGACACAATACAATATCATGGGTCTTTAATGCCTGCCACTAGACAGGTTGCAGTCTTTATTGCATGCCATTAAACAAATGGCATTTATTAACTTTTATTGACAAAGTAGTATCTGAAATAACACAGGTCTTTGCTTTCTGAGTCTGTAAAAATTAAGAAACCCCTCCTAAAATGGTAAGTCTGTGGGAGTTTCTTCACTGACGTCAACAAATGTAGTTTTATGGCCAACACGTGACAGCTCATAGACCACTGTCTGGCACTGGCTGACAAATGTCCACTTTCCATTAACACCTGTTAATTGTTATGAGGAGGGACAAATGAAACTCAGTTTACCTATTGTGTTAGCTCTGGCCGAAGGACTAGCTAACGTTGCTGGCACGGAGGACTTTAGTGAACTGGCCCCACTGTTTATTCTCAGAGTTGGCATATGAGGAGATGTGGGTGATGTGGGAGACTTGCCATCAGATGTCTTGGGTTTGGCTGAAAGGTTCAGAGGCTGAGCCACTTCATCCTATGACAAGCAGAAGAGAAAATAATGTTATTTAAAAACTGCTGTTGGCATCACACCACCCCAGAAAAGACAGTTGTTTTGAGCTCATATGAACTTCTAAACCCAAAAGGTTGTATGATATATAAGATCAAATGTGATATCACCTTGTCATTCCAGTTTGGAACTGAACTGACTGATAAACTGGGAAATTAGCATGGTATGATCAGAGAACATCCTCTACTTGTACTTTATATGTAAGAACTGTCTCTGATGAGGTTAATAAAATCAGCAACATATACACTTCTATGATGAAAACGAAGAGCAACTTTAAAGTTATATTATTTTGTTTTATTTTAAACTTGATATGGATGAATTAAATAAGAACCGAAGTTTTATTTAAAATTTAACCACCACCACCCAAACTGGGCAAAAATGTTTGAGTAAATGGGTTTTTAGTTGTTTCTTTTGTTGGTCTTTTCTTTTTATTTTTTTCCCCAATTGTACTTTTCTCTGAACTTCCCAGGCTTAGAATTGCAAGCACAAAAATATCATAGAAAATTAATACTGCTCTTCTACCACAAGACAACATCAGGAAGAACCTGCCCTTTCTTTCCACAAAATTTGAAGCAATAGCCTGAAGAATTCTGCATAAGTCCCTAGATTTTTTCATCTTCTGTAGAGTTGGACTTTAAGAGTTCAGTAATTATTATTAAGCGAAAATAGAAAAATTGGGTGACATTTTTTGCAGGGTAACTGGAATTATTCCTAAACCCAGCTTGATTACACAGAGTAACAGACAGTGCTATAAAACACATTAAAATTCTAAGTAATATATTTTTGTTTGACCAAAATAAAATACAAAAAGGGAAAAAAAAAAACCAAAACAAAACAAACAGGAAAGGGAGAAAAAGCTTTTCAATGAGGGGGATATTTTAGAAGTGATTTTAACTGACTTTTAAATAACCAGAACTAATGGATACTGTATTAGATCCAACCATCACATATTAGCTTCACTCCCATATGACACTGTGACTTGCGAAAGCCATCCTTTAACTACAGGAAGAGTTATCTCACACAATTGAATTTTGACTCTAGACACTGAAGAAGCTGATTCTGATCTCTGTAAGTTGTAAGTACATTCAGTTTTATAGAATTATTCCTGACTTACAGCAATGCAAAGCTGACTGGAATTAGACTCATAATGTTTGAGTGTTTTACTGTTACCACTAAGGTATCTGTAACTACTACCATATAATACTGATTCTTTTCCACAGAGGGTGGTGTGCTGCAGTAAAGAAGGAATTTTATAGTTGCCTATAGCTTGTGGAAGTATGATGTAGATGTATGTCTCCAAACACAGGACAATTCTGCAAAGCACTGTCATATAACTTTTCCATTACCTTAAAAAAGCAAGCTCTGAGCAAAGCACTTCTGTTGTATTTATTGTTTCTATACTTTTGCAATACTCAAAAATAAATTAAAGCTTAGCAGACAAACACATTAGGGACTTTGTGGACAAAGATGTCATCCTTAAAATGGTATTTAAGCCATCCTAGATGCAACTTGTGCATAAAATAAAGGGGAAAAAAATAATCAATGTATAAATTGCCTTTGGAGCCTATATTCTGTATTTTCACAATTGACTTAGGCAGCTAGAAGGCAAAGTTTTGTTATCTTTGAGAAGACTTAAGCCTTGGGGTTAAAAATGTCACCCAGTTCAACCAGCATTTGACATTTTAAGAAGGTATTTGTTACTTTGCAGATATACTAATGCATCTGTATTAGAATAAAAAAGATTAACCTGCTATACAAATGGAAGGGGACCTGCTCTGCTGTTCCAGTGATTTCAATTAAAAAAAAAAAAAAAAAAAAAAAAAAAAGATCCCACAACAGTTTAACTATAAGGTTGTAAAGTCAGTTCTGAGATAGTGTAAGTACAAACCCCCAGTGAACCAACCAACCACAGCAACCCTGTGCCAGACAAGGATCCCTGAAGAGCAAAGTCATCTGTTTGGAAGACAGTATCGGAAGCAATGCAGACCTGCCCACAGACAGATTTTTGTTCAGTCCAAAGAGGGGTTACTTTCCATGTGTATTCAACACTTGACCTCTGTTGCAAGTCTCAACAACAGGGGCTGATTAGTTTCAGGTATGGTAGTAAAAGCTGCAGCATGCTCTCCAGCCACTGAAAATCTGTCTGAGAGCAGCATTTCAGTTCATACGGAGCAGCAACCAGGCCCTGATGGGAACAGCTCTAGCTCGCTGCAAAGTCAGCCTGGATTTGAACCTATATCCTCATACTGAAAAGGTTTTTTTCAGTCTCATCCTTTTGACTGAATCACTCGACTATCCTGTCCCTATATTTATTTCCTTCCCTCCTCTTGCTCCTTCTCCTGTTCCCTTTTTTCAGCCTGGTCTGAAGGCAAGGTCTTGTGCAAGTCCATTAGAGAACAGTGGTTTTGGTCTCATTTAATGCAAGTTAGAAATGGGGGTGTGTGCTTTTTTCCACTGTAGGCATCCAGCAATGAAGCTGTCTGCACTGTAGCTATTCTTGGTAGTAAGAATGCTCTTCTTCATTCAAGTCAGCAGAGTCTTCTCTGGAGCCAAGAAGTATAAGGCCTTGTGGAAATAATAGAAGTCGACAGTTCCAGAGCTGATAAATGTCATTCCAAATTGCCCCTTCATTCACTTTCATTGTGTGTTCAGGCTAATGGTAAATTAATCGGAGGTCACAGAAGCTTGGTTCTCATAAAGGATGATAAGTAAACAATTTTCAGCTATTATATGTATTTACAAAATGATATTGCTTCACTGTTTGGTCTTCATAGCATTTTTACTTCTGTTATTTCAAAGAGCATTCTCAAATCCTCGCTGGAAGTCGAATACATTAAAAATTCAGCCAGAGAATTTAGAAAACCTATGTTGGATCATGAGTTACTAATAATTTAAGTCATTTCCTTTGCCACGGTGGAACTACACTGATTTATTCCATGGGAGTCTAAAAAATATCTGGGAGACAATAATATACAATATCTGGGAGGTAATAATATACAGTTGTGTTAAGTGTGAAGATGACTATTAGGATCTTCACTCCTATACTCAGTGAGCCATGTCACTCTTTTTTTTCTACCTGCAGACATAAATTCAAAATTCTCTGCTCTTCCAGTTTAAAACAAGAACTGTAATCTCTTCACTAGTGATTTGCGCCTGCATAACCACTAGAAGAATTAGGTGTTGATCTACCTTTATTTTTAACTGTAAAATCTCCCAACTAACATTCTGTCACATTATAGATTAGCAGACTTCACTCTCAGTTGTATCAAACCTGTGTATAAGTGCAGAATGACAGCTAAGGCACATAGGAGTAACAAAAATAAAAAAAAAAAAAGATGTAGCATGTTCACTCCAGGTAGATGTTATCTTTCAACAGCGAGGAGATTCAATTTTATACAGGGGGATCACAGAATCTAGAACTACTCCCTGCACTTAGTTTTTATTAGAGAAAGCTCAGTATTGACTGGTCCCTGACTTTTTTTTGATGTGCAGTTATTCTGAGATGCCATTGATAAGGGTTTTTTTTCAAGCCACTATTTTTTAGAGTTAAACAAAGTCAAACATTTATTTATATGTCAGCCAAAACGATTAATGCTTAGACCAGAGGACGTTAAGACCCAAAAGGCTTGTAATAATATAAACACAGATGTGATGAAAGTAAAGTATGATCTTGATTAAAGGTTATGAAATGTTTCCTTTAAAGTAGCACATTTGTCTAACAAAACAAAACACACAGAAAAAAAAATAAATGTGGAGAATAAAGCATAAGCAAAAACACACGACAGAGGGCTAATAAAAGGAAGTACCCACAGCAAGAGCAAAGCACTGCTAAAGAGATTCCCATCCCCTGTATCACAGCAGTGTCAGAATAGTCACTATTTTAGGGAGAGCTGGTGGTTTGCTTCCCAGGACTAGGAGACTGTCATTAACCAAAACTTCAGAGACTGGGGAACTTTAAATCCTTGACTTACTCTAGATTTTTTTGTCCAGCTGATCTCTAGACATACAAGGGAAGAAGGAAGAACCCTTCATCTACACCAGAATTTGAGGGATAAACTAAATACTCAAGTGCTGTATTTTGTATCTTCACTCAACCTGGATTTGTGTAACTTCAACCTTTCATATTTAATCATCAGATACTGGAAATCTCCAAATATAAGTGCCTGACAAGCAACATTTAAACAGAAATACTGCTGGTAAGTTGACTGTGCATCACACTGCTTTTATAAGGTTTGCATGGTCCTCTGAAAGGGTAAAATGCTAGGTAAATACAAAGTGTTTATTAATATGGGAGGAAAAAATGAAAGAGAGAGAAAAGGAAAGGATTTGTCATACAGTAACATACCAGTAGAGTTTCAGACATACCCAGGAATTCTGACTCGCAGTCACCAATGTTGAAATAGTTCACTGAAATGGTGTATTTTATAATCTTTCAATCATGCTGTCTCTATTTACTTCCTCCTAAGATAAAAGATTAATTTATCTCTATGGAGAATGGATATGGAAAAAGAGGGAATAAAATCTTATTTTTAAAATCTCTCTAAACCATTTATTAAAAATGGCACTATTTCAACACCAAGAGCTGAATAAAGGACTGATAGCCCAGATGAATGAACCAGTCTCAAACTAAAAAAGGGGGGTGGTGGTGATTAATTTGGATTTCATAATCTCACTTCCTTTCACATATTTTAAAGATTAGTATACTATTAAAATACAGTTATTGAATTATTGTACTGTCATTTAAATCCAAGTGCTGTATCCCACTGTGGCATACACTGAAGGTCCAGGTTGCATGGTTTATTACAAAATCATGAACTACTCTGTGTATCATCTGACTGGCAATACAAATGTGCTTAAATGACCTGGCATAAGCACAGCCTAGCATGCTCTACTAAAGAGGCTTTTCATGACCTCTGGGAACACATTCGCCACATCTTGCTGCCTATTTAAATGACCTTGACAGTACA